CCTACCCAAGGAACAGGAAGCTCTATATCACACTACCAACCTATTTTAAATTAGACCAGTTTTACTCTCCATTTTAAACTCAAGAAACTAAAAAAGATTCATTAAATGAAATCTACACTGCATGATTCTCCTAGAAACTCAGTGACATCGACTGAAATCCATGAAAACACAGTGGTCTCACTGCATGGCATGGTAGGACTGGATTTACATGGTTTAATATCCTAATTTTGACTGAATAAAGCAATGTTATTTTCTGTTGATAAGCTCCCCAGTTATTGCATCAAATTATTTTGATCCTCATTAACTACGCAGTACAATACAGCTTTTTTTTTTTTTTAATAGTCCTTTGGATATATTCCCTTGATAATAAACAATGTGTAAGACATGAACTCTGCCCAAAATCAAGTCATGTTGAATGGGACCTTCACTGAAGGCCTTTCTGAAGGCTTTTAGAACATTTAGAACATTTTAGAACATTTTTAATCTTCCCAGAATGCTACATGTCCTTAAACTTAGGTTTCCTAACCTTAATGTAAATTTTAAAAAATTGCTTGTTTTCAACTCCTAAAAAATTTATTGTTCCTGGTATGTACCATTCTGACTGGGTCACATCATTAAATAAATCCACTCAAGTTCTTTTAAAATAGTGTAACTGCTGAGATATTCTGACATAGATATACAGATATGCTAATTACTTTTGCATCATGACAGCTGAGAATATTTCCAAGGAAAATTAAAAAAAAAAAAAAAGAAAGCTTTTTCAAGGACATCTAACCTTGATTAACTCTCTTTCCTGTCTGAAAACATATTTAGTTATGAAACCATATTTGCACTTTCAGAATTCTGTCAATTTAAAATCATTTCTCTTTGTGGGACATTACATTTGTTGCATAAATAATGCCCTCTTTGTTCTCATGTTGAAACAGCAAATGGAAGGAAACTACAATGGAAGTTCAGTCAGGGTTCCCATTATTTTTAAATCACACAGAACATGCATTTCCAGGTTTTTGTCAATAACTCAGTGTTAGCACAGCATACTGAATGCAGCTATGGCTCTGAGAGCTCAACCCTGTCCTGTGCATCGCCACAAGTCCATGCTTACTACTGACTTCACAGAACCAGAAAGTCACGCTAAAACTTTCACAGACTTCACAGAATCACAGAATACACTGAGTTGGAAGGGACACACAAGGATCAGTGAGTCTAACCCTTAGCCTTGCACAGGACCATTCCCAAGAGTCATAGCATGTGCCTAAGATTATCATCCAAACACTTCTTGAACTCTGCCAGGCTTAGTGCTGTGACCTCTTTCCTGGGCAGCCTGTTCCAGTGCCCAACCACCCTCTGGGTGGAGAACCTTTTTCTACTGTCCAGCCTAAACCTCCCCTGACACAACTTCAGGCCGTTCCCTTGGGTCCTGTCCCTGGTCACCGCAGAGAAGAGATCAGTGCCTATCTCTCTTCTTCCCCTCACAAGGAAGTTGTAACTGCAGTGAGGTCTCCCCTCAGTCTCCTCTTCTCCAGGTTGAACACACCAAGTGACCTCAGCCTCTCCTCATACGGCTTCCCCTCAAGGCCCTTCACCATCTTTGTCGCCCTCCTTTGGATGCTCTCTAAGAGCTTAATATTTTCTATTGTGGTGCCCAAAACTGCATGCAATATTCCAGGTGAGGCTGTACCACTGCAGAGCAGAGAGGAATAATCCCCTCCCTTGACCGGTTAGCGATGCTGTGCCTGATGCCCCCAGGACACGGTTGGCCCTTCTGGGTGCCAGGGCACTGCTGACTCATATTCAACTTGTCATTGACCAGAACTCCAGTCTGTAGGTACATCCAGGGTTGCCCCATCCCAGGTGCAGAATCCAGCACTTTCCATCTGGTTGGTGATTGCCCAGTCCTCTCATTTGTTGAGGTCTCTCTCCCTGCAGGGCCTCCCTGCCTTCGAGGGAGTCAATAGCTCCTTCGAGTTTTGTGTCATCTGCAAACTTGCTTAGTGTCCCTTCCAGTCCTGCATCCAAGTCATTTATGAAGATGTTGAAGAGCAGAGGGCCCAAGATGGAGCCCTGTGGAACCCCACTAGTGACAGGTCACCAGTCTGATGTTACCCCATTCACTATTACCCTCTGTGCTTGACCCATGAGTCAATTGCTCACCCAGTACATGATGTGTTTATCCAGCTGTGTGCTGGGCGTTCTGTCCAGAAACATCCTGTGAGAGACAGTATTGAAAGCTTTACTGAAATCCAAAAAGATTACATCAACTGGCTTCCCTTGATCTAGGCTCTTCTCTTCCCTCCACATGAGATGTCATATGAGTGATGGAGGAGTATTTTTTGACAGGTTGCTGAATGAAAGGCAAGGCTCCTGATTTCAGTTCCTGGCTACATTGTGGATTTGTTTCTGACTCAATTCAGGTTGCTGTGCACAGGCTTCAGAGCCATTAAAAAGGGGATCCTGTTCCTATGCACTTCATAGGCAGAGAACAGATAAAAATTTTTCGGTACTTTTCTCGATTTGGCCCATTTTTGTCTGTGTTATAGTTTATCCGTCTGGCAGACAGAGTGGCTGTAAAGCTCCTTTGCTTCAGCAGTTTTCATCAACTTTGACTGAGATGTCCCTCAATGATGTGGGGTCTGAACACACCAACACACTGAGATGCAAATATTCAGTCGTCCACCTTATCATAACCTAAACTGACATGGCAACCAAACACTTTCAAACCACCACTTTTACCCCTGTCTTGAGAGGTATTTCATTAGAAAGTCAGAAAAGTCAGACCCTTAGAAACACGCAGTCACATACACCCAGATAAAGGGTAAGTGCCATTAAAAGATGGTTAGTGATGAGACCTTTTGGTCTCATCAATTATTAAAATGGCTCTTAGATCTGCTCATCATATAACCTCTGCTATTGGTTCTGTTCATCAATTTCTTTGACTCATTCCTTTAAAAATTAATGAAAGCTATAGACAATAAAATATGTGTCTCTATTTTTTCTTATTTGTCATATCTTAAATCAAGAGATTTTGAAAAAGCATTTAAAAAAACCCCAACCACTCTTTTCCCATGGTTTCTCACTATAGATCCACTACGTATTTTTGGTAGGACTCTCTGCTGAGTTTCTGATGCCATTTAGGAAAATGAACAACACATTTCTAGAGTGATGATGATAAACTGCCACCAAATAATGGCTCTGTGATCAACTGATCTGTAACATAACACACCTAGCTGTCTCTCTTTGCAGTCATAGCAAGACTGACTTGCTAGGGTTGATACTGAGAATACAGAGAAGCACAAGCCACGGGGCTCTTTGGTGTTCTTCCCACATGATCTTGCCTGGACTGGTGTTCATTTCTGTCCCCAAAGGCATGAGACTTCATCAGACAGAGGACTTGACCAGGACTGAGAAGTCCTGAGGTCTCTCCATCTTTATCACTGCTAGCATCAATCATTTTAGACAAAGTTACTTCCAACACCTCAGTATCTCTTTGAAGAGAGAATTTATTGCCTTTCAAAGTATCAATAAAAGTATTGCACAGGGTGCTCTTCTTGACAGATGGCATTGCAATGAAACACGATACCTGTGCAACACTGAACATCACCTGTGGCAGGCTGTGAATCTACCTGTGGTCTAAGAGCACCTTCCATTTCAGTTCAGTCCCATCAAAAGCACATGTCAGGGTTAAAGGCACTTCTTCTAAATGCACATTTCCTTTTCTATTAAAAATCAGTGGTTACTGAGTCAACACTCAGCTAAGAAAAGCATTAAGGGCTGTGCTAGTTGTATGTTTAAAATGAAGCACGTACTTCAGAGCTTTTTGAACTGAAGCTTGGAACTTGACACAACTGTTTGCGGGATGCCTGAAACAAACTGCCAGTCTGTTGAGAGTTTCTTTTATCTTTATCTGATGAGTTCAAGCACCCAGGGTTGTGCATAACTGCAGTGAAGAGAGGTGGGGTGCCTTTCTGCTGTTGTTGCCAGACTCTTAGCAAGGCTACAAGGGGTTTTCCAAGAAGGACCAATGAATGAAAACATGACTGCACTGACCAAAGTTTAAAGGTTCTGAGTGCTTCACAGGGATGCCTTCCACATTTTCTTTAAGAAATGCAAGTTATTACACAGCTCTCAGATATCACCAGCATTCTGCAGTATAAAGTCCCTGCTATGCACACTGTAATTGCAGTGCTGCTTGATATACATAAATTTCAAATGGTTGTGTGCTAAGCAGACTACAGTTATAAGTAAATAACACCTTTATGTTCAGTCTAGCTAAGGTTATGACAGGATTTAAAGCATTAAGTTTTTACATAATATGCTATCACTGTATCTGTGATCCATACTGTAGCTGTAAAAATGACCACTTTATGTATACAAGTTAGGGTAGATTTTCTTGATGCTTATCTGAAAGCAGCTGCATTATTACCATAATACCATATAATGCCATAGTTCATTTTTATTTAGAATTGTACTGCTACAGAAGTACAGACTTAAGTACTTATTTCCAAATGTCAGCCTATGAAAGCAAGCATACCCTAGCCCAGCTATAGCCTTGTATTATCTTCACTAGCTGGTTTTACTAGCAATATTGGTCTAGAATCTAAAACATAAAGCCCAGTGAATTAGACCCTGCACTGTGTAAACAATCCACAGGGAGGAGTCTGCTATGCCTGGCCAGTGAACTATGATGTTCACCAATGAAGCTCTTCCAAGGAAAAACCACCACACTGCGCCACATATGAATGTTGCAGTTTCAACAATACAAGGTCATTCCACTTGTCACCACTTTCAGCAACCACCTTTTCCATGAATTTCGGTCTTTGAAAGGTGCAAGAGAAGCTGGCCTTGAACACTGTTTTGATATACTTGCAAACATTTAGCTTCTAAGTGTGTCACAGGAGGACTATGTCTTAGTCTTGAAGCAGGGCATATAATTTTAGAGTTTGCTAAAGTTTGTTCACTTTCTGTCCATTAAAAATAGACCTGTCTATACCTGCCATGGTCATTCCTCCAACTTCTACTGCCCAGCTGCCATGGGAATCCAAGGCCTTGTTGTCTGATGATTGATAGCAAATGGAGATGCTCTCTTACAGAGAACAACCAAATGAATGTCCTGTCTGGCTTGACTGGTGCATCTCTCCAGAGCCCTGCTGTTCACAGACCTTTTGCAATTCAGGATGGTGGACTTGAAAGCAGCAAAGCAGTTCAGCATATGTTTCAATTAAAAGTCATGTGTGGTAGTTTAGTCTAGGCCTTTCTTGGTGACCAGTTTGTAACCAAGGAAGTGCCCAGATTTACCCAGTATTCCCTACGATTTTTATGTAAGCCAGGGTATAAGAAGAAAGCAGGAAAGGCCTTCGTCTCTCTTTACTTCTGGCAGCTTTGGAGGTGTGAGTTTCCCTGCTGTTGAGTCTGCCGTGTTGGTGAGTGAGGCCTAGTAAGGCCTTGCCGACCTTGGGAGACAGAGGTTGCCGGCGATCGTTCCAGCGCAACTTTCTGTTGTCCCAAGGAGAGTAGTAAGACATTCTTTTGCTAATTCTTTTAATTGCTACATCTTGGGCTATTGATCGTGTATATTTTATTTTGGTTTTGTTCCTTTTTTTTCCCTCCCCCTTCCCTTTTCCTTCTGAAATTGTATATAACTGTAATATAAGTGTAAATATATTTATATATATATTGCTTTAGCTGCCTCTCTCTCGTTTCGGTTCTCTTGGGTTTTTTTTCCCTCTTCTCCCGTGGTTTGTGGGGGGGGGAGAGCCTTGTGGTGAGGTTTGGGGACTTGGCAGGGATCCAGCTTCAAACCATATCATGTGACAAGTATATACTCAATCTCTTTAGCACAACTAGATAATTTTGTCAAACCGGAACGAAGCTGTACCTTTCCAATCACTTGTTCACTCCTCCCTAAAAAAAGCATCCAGTATACTTGCAAGATAATGGCCTTTTTAGGGTACTTTTCACTATTTATATTTTGGTCTTCTGACTTGTTTCCCCATCTCAGGATGATAAAACTGCAAAGAAATGTTCTCTGAGAAAATTATCATGTCTTATTGCTAAAACTGAAAACCTCTCCTCTCTCGCTAAACATCTGCTCTTTCCCCCTCATGAAAGCTGCCAAATGTTTCTCTCAGCACAAGAAAAAAAAATCAATAATTGTTATTTTCATTTTTTTCATGCCCTGGCCTTCCAGACAAAGTCAATGCCTTCTCTTAAAATATCAGTCCTGCATGTCTACTTGCAGAAAAGCAATATGTTATTATCATAGTCATAATAAGCCATACCACTCCAACACATGAGTTTACTGAATTATAAAATAAGGTAGATTATTAGCCAATAGCTAAAAATGTGTCCTTTCTTTTTCACTTTTAACCCTGCTTTAGTTCATTGTATTTAAAAGGGGATTATGTCTAAAGTTCTTAATTAATTCTACCAGTGTTTTTTTCAGAAAAGTGAAACATTGTCTAGAACAACATTAATTTTAACTGTAAATTCTCTCTTCAATTGCATAACATCAGTTCAATATTGTATGTTAATTCTGTGTCATGGAGATAAAATTCTTCTCATTAGCCTCTATGAAACCATGAGCAGTATGGAGAAGATGAAGGAAGACCAATTACTCAGACATTCACATAACACAAGAAGCAGAAGATATCAAATAAAATTTGTAAATGGCAGTTCATAAATAACAAAAAGAGGCACCCTGTCACATAATATACAGTTCCGTGTGGAACTTACTGCCATAAGATACTGTCAACCCTCAAAGATTATCAGGGATCAAAAAGTGATTAAACAAACGGATGGAGGACAAAATAGGACAAGGACTATCAAACATGAAGATACCATCTCTGGCCCAGGAAGCTCCTGAGTTGCAGAATGCTGAAGGCTAATAGGGCACTTCAGGGAAATATTAATTTATGCTTAACCTGTTTCCATACTATTTCACAGACACTGGTTTTTCACAGTGACAGGACCCTGGACTAGAAGGGTCTTTTTGGAGAAGCTATTCCTATGTTCCTGTACAGAAGGGCCACACATTGCAATATGGAGTCCTTATTAAACCTCTCAGCAATGCTTATGGAGGGCTAGAAACAATTCTGGCAAAAGGCTGGAATAAAGGGGAGATACCACATAGAATCAAAGTAGGTGAATGACCTAATGCATCTTACAATTCGGGATCCTCCAAAGATTTTAAAATGCTAAGCTGAACAGATATAGAAACAGTGCCTATTGTTATGTTTTACATAACACAGCATCAGTTTGGGCCAGTCAAATATACAGGATAATTAATAAACTGTAGTAGTTATTGCACTGCAGGCCATTTACTCTTCCAAGAAAGGAAGATGAAGTGCCCTGGAGGTAAGATCAGATGAGTGCTACAAAGAAGGTGACGTGATTCACATCTCTGATTGAAAGAAATGTCTCCTATCAGACAGAGGGACAGAAGGAAAGTTAACCAAGTAGAAATCTGCAGCACTGAAAAGTAATGGATTACAGCTCTTTGGTCTCCCTGGACAAAGTGTGTAAAAATGAAAAAAAAGTCTATTCCTTTAAAATATAAATTATTTTACTTCAAAATGATAAACTTTTCCAGTGTTAAACAATAATCTAAGCTAAGAGAAAGGGAGGTAAGCTGTGGTAAAATGGAAGGAAAGGCACTTTGAACAGTGTATTTCAGTGAATTCAGTGTACATCTAGATTAATTTCTGAAGATGGGATTCAGGAACTTAGTGAAAAAAGCAGGGAGATGAAATTACTATAAGCCAGAGAACATTCGGCATATTGAATCAGGTGGTCTCTCCTTTTTAAAACACTCCGTATTCTACCAATTTGCCATATCAAGTTATGCCATAGGATATAGTTACTGATCACTCCAGTGGCACAACTTGCAACTCAGAATATTGAGCTCATATGAAGTCCTGTGTTTTTGAAGTCCTTAAAAAAAGTTGTCACTGTATCACTTGTACCTTACCACTGTTGCCACACCTCAGTGTTTGCTGGTTGTACCAGCAGATGAAGAGAGGTATTAAGTACCAGTAGACAAGCAGTTAGAATTACTTATGTCAAAATCCTCACAGGCTCCAGGTGATCATCTAATCTGTCCAAGTCAACAGCAAATCAGCAAACAATTTTGCAGTGCAACATTAATGAATTGTACTTTCTGATTTTCAAAGTGGTTTACAATATATGAAATTCCACTTTTATATTAATCACAAGTAGTCCGGGCTACTAGTGTCAAGGAAATTTTACGAAATAACCTTGCATTGGAAAAAACTGGCCTCTACAAGTCTGCATCACAGTTGAAATCCTAACTTCTTTTGCTTTTTAGATGGCTGTTTAAGGTGTAATGTGATGTGCTAGCTGAACAGCACAGTCAACATCAACGAGTTGCAGTCATCTGAGCATAGACTCTCAAAGCCCAATATCACACCACATAAGGTAGCTTGTGTTCACTGGGAAATATGTATTCCTAATAGTCTGAAAGCTATTTCTCAGGTACGACAGATCACAACTTTTCCCCATACTTTACTGAAACCCACATTTTTTTCAAATTTATTGTAGGTTAATGTAGCATGTCTGGCTCTATTGCTCATGTCAAATTACATCACAGGGGAAGAGGAGAGCAACAGAGCTTGGTTTGTAGCTTTTCTTCTCCCTTGTGAGTCACAAACGTGCTTTTATAATGTATACCACAAGGGAGCACCACAATTGTTAGTTGAAATGTCTCAGATGTTTCAGTTCTTTGAATTTTTTAAGACAGTTTCTCCCCTTTTCCCCCCAGATGCTAATCAACAAAGCACTGACAAGGTCCTTGTGCTCATTTTCCTTCTCTTCCACAGTCTTGATGATGTTTTCTTCTTTGCTCTTTCTGTGGGCCATAATTTGTTTACATAAACTGGAAAACACAAGAGAAAAGTTTAACTAAAATAGAACAGAAAACATTCTCTGTTGTTTTCCCTCCATTAAGTCTAGGTTTTGTCTCCTTATTTGTGTCACATCATGCTATGAGTTGAAACAGGCATTTGCTCTGAAATGAGGCATCCATCAAACAACACACAATATGATCATTAAAAATACCACTAACTGCTATTACTGGGGAGGAAAAAAAGATTTCTCATTCCTATGGTGCTTTCAAAATCCTAAATTCTTATCATATTTATATATTGAATTATTCCTCAAGCCATGCTTAAAATTTTGTTCTTGGATACGACAGCCCAAGTGTATAAACTCTGCCTGTGGTGCCATAGCATCTTACCTTCTGCCTGTAGAATAAGGCCAGATAACCTTGACATGCAAGCATTGGCAGAAGGTGTTAGTCTAGTAAGAAAAGACCCTCAAAATTTCCCTGGGTGTATCCATTCCCTAATGACATGTGATCAGGGTAAAGTTTAGCTTTCTGACAAAGCCTGTTAAACTTTTTTATTATTAGGTGATCCTGAGGAACAGAGGAAGATGAGAGTGATCTTTGAAAGGATTTAGGTCTTCACCAGCACTGCTACATTTCAGGTAAGGGCTCTCTGAAGATTTAACATATATGAATTTCCACACCATGGATTGTGCAATGTACTCCTCACATCCTTCACCAAATGCCAGTAGTAGCATGTGAGCACAGGAGAAGAGATGGGTGGAAAAGAAACCCAAAAATACACTTACTCTCCCTGTTTTCCCCTCACATTTTTCACTGCCCCAAGGGAGCACTCTGGGGCACTCTTCCACCTTTTCCTAGGATGAAGCTAATCCTTACTATAACCATGCAGCATTGAAGCGGTTCCTTCCTCATGCACGGTCACCCTCCTCTCTGGATAAATAAGAATCCTATTAAACATGGAGTCCTCTACTTGCTGCACTTCTATAATTAATTCAAAATAAATACATAAACATAATTTTAGTTTCACTGCTCAAATAAAAGTAGGATCTGCAGTAAAACTGAGAGCTCAAAGGTTAGAACCCATTTCTTAAACAAAAACAGGCTACAGTTTTACACCAAAGTAGTTCCAACAAGTAATTTAATTTTTTGAGATGCCTGTTGTTAGAACTGAGAGTCAACTGTATGATCTTCAATATAAATCTTACACACAGTATTCCCAGGCTCCAGAGTTGCCAAGACTTAAGAGGTCTTGGAGACAGTCAAAATATGCCAAGTGGGAAATGCATGTCCCATGCGGTTAAGACAACATATTTCAAATTTTTGGGGGGGTTCATGAGATTGTCTATAGCCCCAGTTTTTTGGACAGTTCAAGAATACTTTGGGATGGGATTCCCAAATCAATCTCTGAGAAATCTGGTACTCAACCAAGTCATATTTCAGTTAGGCTGGCACTAGTATTTTGACCTATGCTTGTATGATGCCTAGATCAATGAAGTCCTAATCTACACAAGGCTCCTACACACACTTGCAGCACATGCAATGGATAATAATAACACTTTTTCTAGCCACTTGTAAAAAATTACAAATGGGTTCTCCATAGCAGCTGCAGTGTCAGTTTTTTATATCACAGTGGGTTAATAAAGCCCTAATACTGTTTGTGAATCTTTGTACTTCAGAATATTTTTCATCTGCTTCAGCTGAAAACTTTTGAAATATTGTTTCATAAAGCCTGCATTTCCTTTTAAAGTCATGCTACTTTATAATACTCTGGGCACTTTTAGGATGATCCACACAGAGTATTACCACATGCACTCGATGTTCTTATTAAAATATTATGTGCTTCAGGCCTTAGTATATAATTTTCTTTGCTTTCTTGCCAGGAAGTCTATATATTCTTTTCGTGTATTAGGCCACCATCTTCACCTAACCCTGCATCCTGACCTCTGCGGTTATTTCTGCTGAAAATGTCTCAATCTTGTATCCATCTGAGGTTCTCATTAGCCCTGACCTCACGCCTTGGCTACAGCCCCATTTTATTTTCCTTTTCTCTCTGCTAGATAGCAGTTCTCCTTCAAGACACTTCAGTCATTGAGCTAAAAGACTTCTGTTAACGAAAAGCAGATGCAACACTAAGTTCTCCCCTGAAAGAATCTTCTTCCTACCATAATGATTTTGAGCTTGAAAACCCACCATACTGTGCAAGACCCGTTCTGTATGATTAATCCAGCCTTCCAGGACATCCTAAATGAGTGTTTATTTTATGACATGTTAATTTTTAGCAGTGAGCTTATCACTGACTAGGTAATACTGACAAAGGAGGCTGCCTTGCTAGTATGGTAATTACATGTGAATACTGAATTGTAAATTAGTGCCCTCCGAGTTGCTGAACTGTGTATTTATCTCGTTTAATTTTCTTTTCAATTCTTTTGAACAATTTACATAGTCACTGCTGTATGAGTGTCTGGGTGCTCTGTTGCTTGAATCCTTGAACTAGGTAGTGAAGGAACTGGATTAATTCAAGATCATGAAGACTCCATCACAAAATGTATGCCACTTAATTTTGACATGTTACTGTATATATACATAAAACTATATATATATACATTTATAGTATGATAATAAATGCACTGCAGTGTATTTGGTAAAGGTGCTTAGGTTTTACTGAGATCTCACTGTTACGGTCAATATGTCATCTTTGGTGGGAAGCAAAACATGGCTCTGGTTTTCTGTGAAAACTGTTGAGCTATGGAAACAGTCAGGTGGAAGTTAGCCATTTGAAAGGCAGAAATAATTGTCCATGTATTTTCTTTGCCTGTTTTGAAGAGATAAAAATGAATATCATATGTAAGCCAATACAGAATGCGCTTCTATCAGACAGGAATTAAGTATGACAATTCCTGAACAAAATGCAACCCAAATTCTTGCTCTTTAAGGTCAGACAGCTGTCCAGAGTCTATGTCCTCCTGTGGCAGGAGGACACAATAACAGCAAAAGGAAGTTATTTTTTCCAAGACTGTCTTGGCTCTAGAGAAAACAGGGGAGAATATTCCTTGTTAAATGAATCTAATATGGGTTACTCCCCCGATGCACTTGCTCAAATAAGGGCCTCTTTATGCTCAGCAGGAGCACTTTAATGAAGAAGCATCTACTAAATGAAGCAACAACATGACACCCCCACCCTGTTGAATAGGGAAAGGAATCAAGAAGAATATCAATAGAAGAGAAAAGAAGGTGTGGGTATGGGAAAAGCACAGAGGGTGAAAAGAAGATGGGGAAAAAGCAAAATGGTCACAATCATAAACCAGGACATGTAGGAATGTATGACCACCCAGCCTGCTTTCTATTGCAAAGCATCTCCAATAGGCAAGCACACAAGCAGCCATCAGTGAGCACTATGGCCCACATAAAGCTCTTATTGCAAGTGGTCCTCTTATGGATGGGCTGAAGCTTGGGAAGACTCTTGCAGCTCTAATCCTACATGTGCCTTTCAGTTATTTCAGTAAATATCCAGTAACATTAAGAGCCTCCTATATAAGATATCCTATGGTCAGAACACTGCCAAGTTACAAGAAGCCTCAACTCTTTTCTACTTCAGGAAAAGGAATATAATATCCAGAATGAACACTGCTGAAAAGAACACAATACTCAGAAAAACAATAATAACTATAATTTCACCTCTCCATCATGGAAGACACAAAACTGCAGTGCCTTTGCTCATTTGCTTTTCGTATGTGAGAGATGGGGAAGGAATTAAAGAGGGAATAAAGGCAGAACTTCTACCTTCTGTAAGAGAACACAGAGACAGCTTTGCACTGCCTTTTCTAGAGGATTTCACAGGTTGTGAGCAGCTGTCAAAAAGCCCTGATGAAACTGTGTTTTTCAGCTGTCACTACCAGAAATTGGGCTTTCCACTGAGTCATGGAGTCAGGGCAAGCCTCCGGGCTCTCTCTAGGTGAAACTCAGGCAAAAGTCTGGGGAAAGAACCACAGCACACAGACTGGCCCCTAATTTCTATAGGTTACGTCTGCCATCATAGGAACAAATGTAATTGTTGTTCCCTCCAAAACAGCTAATGCATGTACATTCTGTCTTGCAGTAGAAGTACAGATTTTGGTTATTGTGCATTTGAACCAGTTGCTCATGATGCTCCCAGATGGAGAGCAAGGGAAGCAATACTATACACCTTCTGCTGATTATTAGCACTGAGATGGATGCCAAACACAAATGTATTTTCCACAAATTCATCTCTGAATAATTAATTTTATTAATTTTAATAATTATATAATATATAGTGGGAAAATCTTATGGGTTTTATTTTCAAGATTTAAATGTATTTAAAAATTATTATTTTATGTTAATACTATATGATCACTGTTCATATTAATTATGATAATAACAGCATTATGTATACAAAGGAAGAGAAAAATGCTCTAATTTAAATGAAAGCTAGAACCACAACACATAGACTGGCCGCAAATTTCTATAAGCGGTGGGATGAGGTGGGATGCTGGTTCTAGAATTCAATCATCTTTAGTATTCTGAAATAATGGATAATATTTTTATACTCTGCAATGGTATCGAGAAGCAGTCTATGTGCAACTGAGCCTAAATCCTTTTGTTCTGTATTGCCAATACAAAAAAGAAGAGAGAAGAATTGATCTCTGTAAAGGAAGAAATGGTTGTATTTAGTCTAAGGACTGACTAATAGAAGAATCACAACAACTTTTGACTATCATGCTAATACGTTGCGGTTCAGAAGAATCAGAAGCAGGAGAATGAGAGGACAGGATAAGCAGAATAAGGAATCAACAAGGCAATAGGAAAGTTCTCCTTGTACTTTTGAACTGAGAATATCTCCCCTGAACCTTCTCTTTCCCAATAAATGCAAACTAATTTAAATTTAAATGAACTTCTACCTAGGCTACTTACAGTACCCTTATTATTCCATTCAACAAAACCACTGTGGTCATAAAAAGAAGCGCTTTTCTTATTGAGAATTACTGATGTTCTGAAATGCCTTTGATTCTGTATCAGGCAAAACTACTCACCATTTTCTCATAATTTTAAGCACAGTTTTGAGCAAGAAATTTCAAAAAGAAAAATGTTGGTGTTTCCCAGCAAAACAAAGCAGCCAGATGCTCCTGAAAGATTTCTGTTTGAATGGAAACTTAGCACAAAATGTATTCAGATAATTAAAAAGAAAATATGACTGATACTCAATTTAGGTTACACGTTCTACTGTATGCTTTTTAGTATTGTGCATCCTCTAAATGGGTTCTGAAATGAAGCAAAGACCTACAGAGGTCTGTTCAGAAAAATCTCAGCAGTGGCTGCTGCTGGAGGGCTGGGAGGTAGAAGGGAACATTATGCTTTTAGAAGGCATCCTGCAGACAGTGGCACCTCCTTGAATATGTGGGAATGCAACATTCAGGGGATTCCGAGAGTGTTTCAAGCCCCAGGCAGTTTGGCATGAGAGGTTGGCAGGGGCATGAGGAGTGGCTCAATGCAATATAATTGGTTTATAAATTATTTCCATTATTACTTCCAGGAGGAATTCCTCCCCTGCTCAAAACTGCTCCACATACAACTCAGATACTCAAGATATGCACTGAGGAAAGGTACATTTTACAGAGATGCACAGGAGGAAAAACAAAACCCCCAAGCTTCACACTAGATCAATGAAACGTCTTAAAACAACTGGATCCCAGGTAAAGCATTAAAATATACTATAGGGACCAAACACATATTGGGAAGAGAATGGATTATCTTACAGCCTAAACAAAAGCAAGCAACAACAAAATGATTAATTAATAGGCAACTCCTTCTGACATTTCTCTAGGCAGACTCTTTCTATGGAAAGTGAAATGATGGGAGAAAGTGGTCATTAGTTGTTAAAAGAAAATCAAAATCCGAAATACCAGCAGTCAATGTCCTATAAAGGTACTTAGAATGCTTTCCTTCTAGAGATTAAATATTTTAGCATGACTGCATCACAATAGAATTAATCCATCTAACAGTCTCTGACTCTGTCCTGGTTTCAGCTGTGATAGAGTTAATTTTCTTCTTACTATCTAGTACCGTGCTTTGTTTTGGATTTAATATGAGAATAATGTTGATAACACATTGATGTTTTAGTTGTTGCCAAGTAGTGCTTACTCTGAGTCAAGGACTTTCAAGTTTCCCATGCTCTGGCAGCCAGCAGGTGCACAAGAAACTGGGAGGGATCAGAGCCAGGACAACTGACCCAAAGCAACCAAAAGGACATTCCATACTGTAGAATGTCATGCTCGGTATACAAACTTGGGGCAGTTGGCTGGGAGCCACCGATCACTCTTCAGGGATGAGCAGGCATTGGCAGTGAGCAATTGTACTGTGCATCTCTCTTTCCTTATGTTTTATTTCTCTCTCTCCCCTTTTCATTACATTAACAATATTATTAATAACAGAAATACTAAATACAATATTTATTAGAATATTCTACTTTATGTCAATGATTAAACTGATCTTATCTCAACCCACAAGTTTTACTTCTTTCTGATTCTCCCTCCCATTCCACCAGAGATGGGGAGTGAGCATAGGCCTGCATGGTAATTAGTTGTCAGCTGGGGTTAAACCACGGCAGACTGTCACATTGCATTGTCTACTCAGAAACATCACAGAAAATGTACAGTTCCTGTGCATCTGCATAAAATACAGACAGCTCTTACTGAAATATTGTCAACCCAGGACAAAATGTTGCAACCATTTAAGAGAACAGAGAATTTTTTTAAAAACCCTCCAGACTAGGCCAAGAAATTAAGGAAAAGATTATATCCAACAGAAACTGGATGCTCTAACAGGAGGGGTCAGCATGCTGCTTGGCATCAAAACCACAGTCTAGCAGAGCCCTGTTCTCTGTTGCTGTGAAAATACACTCTGGTCTTCAAGCTGCATCTTTTCCGTTAGTTGAATTCTGCCATGTGCTACAAGCTAAGAGGCAGCAGAGAAAATATAAAATCTTAATCTGACTTCACTTTCTCTACTTCTTCTCCTCTCTGCAGTTCTCCAGCTGAATGTCACCATGGTACCTGGCTGGTCATCAAATACAGAAATTTCAGAATGCATAATTTTTGTCCCTGTTCCTGCCCAGTGGAAATTAGGGGATTTCCCTATTTTCAGACCACATTTAGCTTGTGGGGTGTGAATGATGCTGGAGAGTTCATCTGTAAGAGAGTGGGTAGGTGTCTGGTGTGGTACTGTGCCCTTCAGTTCCCACCTGCTGCAGCCATCTTCCCCTAATTGCCATGCAGCCCCACAACCCCTACTGCTGCCACCGCAGCCTGGCCCTGCAGCCTGGCCCTGCATACTAATTGGCACATTTAATGACGTTCTCTTCCTCTCCTTCCCTTCTCCTTCTAAGCTGCTGTCTGGGAGCAGGAGAGCCCAGCTGCCATGGAAACCAAGCCTTCAAATGCCCTGAACTTGCAGCACCAGCCTTGGGAGAGGATTCCAGTGGTGAAGCTCAAAGAAGGGAATGCTGGAGGAGGTGTAAAGGTGGAGGAGTGGGAAGGTGTAAGGTTGACTGTGGCAGGAACAGGTCTGGGCTGTTCTGCCAAGGCACTGCACAAGGTGAGTGTATACTGGGCATAAGAAATCAGACATTTACGGGAAAAAGAGGTTAACCCTCTGTTACCAATGTTTTTCTTCTTAATGTTTCAAGTGTCTTTCCGCCCCTCTCTCCCATCCACTTACTGTCTGGATCAAATACCCCTAATACATGCACATACCATGTCATCAAAGGGGTTTTGACAATCCCAAACATGACTCACGCATCTCAAGGACTGTTTGTAGCCATAAAAAGTACTGATTTCAGTGAGTAAAAGGTTTGAGGGGGCCTCAGGCACAAGCTGCCAGAAGACAAACTGCTGTCTAGGCAATAAGGCTGTGATCCTGTGCCCAGCCTTTCAGTCCTGCCTCCCTTTCCCAGGGCAGCCACTGGACTGGAGTTGCATGAAAATGAAGCACTTGTGGCACTGTCTGTATGCGCTGATGCCTTTTCTGGGCTGGCACGTAGTTCAACTCCAGCTCTGTGTCCAAAAGCATTCTGGTCCCTTCTTCAGGCTGTGTGGCTGTGGGAATTGTACTTTTATCCTCAGTTCTCTCTGCTGAGGATTGCTGGCCATATAATGAGGGTAAGATGAGTGTACACTGCAATCTGAATCCCAAATTTCAGCCTTTGAAATACACTGTCACTTGCATCTAGTCTTCTTGTAAGCTTTCAGGCCAGCAATGGAGAATGTCCTTGTGTGTCATTTTTCTAAGCAGAGCTCCCTATGATATGATTTATTCATGAAGGGAGCCCTCAGAAGGTCAATAAAACTGGCGTGCTCCCAAAAACACACAAACAAAACAGGGAAGACTTCACTGGGTCAGCACTTTTCTGAAGACTAGATGGAGCTGTTTATATCCCAGGCAGACCCATGTGAGGGACATAACAAATGTTTCAGCTCTCCTGCGCTGTCCCAACCACTTGAACAACCAGCTTAATACTGAAAATTTACTTCAGATACAAGTGAAAACTTGCTAAGCCATGAAACACTGCAGGGTTTTGAAGCTGAAGTACTCTGGACACCCAACAAAGGTACTACTTGGTATTCCTGTGAAACAGGGGGATCTACTGCAGCACAGGCTGAGAAGTACAGTGAGACGGGTCTTAGGCATGACAACAAAGGACAGCTCAACTGGCTTCCCACAGATATATTTCCTCTTTACCTAAGACCAGCAAAAGGAGACTTCTGCTTGGATTTTTTCTTTCAGGCACTTAATGTTGTCTTGCACCTGATCTTGCCATTGACTTGAAAAGGAAGAGGACCACCCCATTATAAATTTCAATACACTAGGTCTATCACACATGATCTGCTACTACAGCACAGACTGGTACATAAAAGTTGAAGAAGTGCAGAAGGAGTATTTGCAAGACATAAGAATGCCTAACCTAAGAGAGAAAACAGTTTTACAGAGTTTGCAGCATTTGTGTAAGCCACCCCTTTAATGCAACTTAAGAGTGATTTTATTTAATAGAAAATAAGGTTTGAAACAGAAAATGTTAGAGGATTACAGGAAGGAAAATGTTTTTTTCAAGCAAAGAGAGAAGCTGGTTAACATCACCAGGACTAAATGACATTCACCTGAATTTGAAGGTATGCAGGTGGAAAACTGCAGGAAACTGACTATCATTAAAAAGAGCACCTATGCTCAGAGAGAGCTGATGCATGGACATAAACAGTCTGTCTGTATCCTTCTGAGCAGAGTGTGAAAGAAAACCTTCTGTAGAAAAGGATCCCACTCTACCAGCCAAGTGGTGGTCCATAGGATGAATGTGAACAAAGGTGATACAGCAGACAAAGTATATGTGAATTTTCAAAACATCTTTGATAAGGCTCTACATCAAAGGTTATTAAAAAAAAAAACACACCTGCTGCAAAGGCCTTTTAATGGACTGAAGGCTAGTTACAGGACAAGAAGCAGAAAGGAGGACAGGAGGACTTCAAGACGACTTCTCAGGACAGAGAGGAAGCACTAGTGGAGTCCCCAGAGGTCTGTGCTAGGATCAGCTACATTCAACATCTTCAATGGCCCAAAGATGGGAAGGCATTGTCAATTAGTCCAAGTAACAGAGTGATACTAAGTTTTTGAAGAGGCTTTTTAAACTGAGAGAACAGGCAGCAGATGAGCTTAATGCAGTTAACTAAGTGCATGATAAACGGGTGCAATAACTAGTAACCTATGTTTACACTCTGGACTGACAGCTACAAATTGGGAAGGAGGTTTGGAGCCATCTCCAATACCAACAGATCAGTGAGAAACATCTACCAGAAAAACCCAAGACACTGAGCATCACCAGAACAAGTACCAACAACGTGGCACAGGGCATAATTCTACCACATTACAAAGCCATGGCCTTTACATGACTTCAGTGTGCAGTTGTGGTCTTCACAGCTTGAGGAGGATATGATGTAACCGGAGAGGCAGAGAATAGGAGAACTAAACTTAGGTTGAGGTTTACGAACTCATTAAAGTGATGGATAAACTGAGGTCAATCAGGAACAAGTGCAGAATTGTTATTAACAAAGTCTCAAATACTGTAACAAGAGAATACTCAACAAAATTAGTAAGAAATAAATTTAGAACAGATGAAAGCACTTTTTTACATAATGGGTACTAGAATTCTGGAACTTGCTGCCACAGTTATGAATGTAGACAGTACTAGCAGGTGCAAACAAAGATGAGACAAATCCATGAACTGGTTCATATACAGATAGTACTGGGAACTGTCAGGAATAAACCCTAACATCCCATATCCTGAGATCATAGATTCTGGCACAGCATAAGAAAATGCCCTCAAAAATGGCCAAAGATAGGGCAGATAGCTTACAAGCAAATGTGATTTACATTTAAGAACAGGCTCAGTCATTTCTTACAAAGGCTGGAGAGGTACATGTATATTGGGCTGGCTTGGGCAAGTCAGGAGAGTATCTGCCTAGTCAGAGAAAATTAGGTCAAAATGGAGAGCCCCATGTATCTATGAGATGTCTAACTTTGAAGACGGGCCCAGTTTGCACTTTGTTGCTTATTTTTATGTACCATGTGTATTTTGCATCAGTGGGTTAAACCTTTCATTTGGTATGGAAATACAAAATCTCCCTTGCATGTTGAATTAAAACATAATGAAATGTTTGAAGATCTTTGGCATTTTACAAAAAGTCCTGAGGAGTTTGGCTTCTGAGCGGGCAACAACACTTACGTGTTGTGGATAAAGGCAGAAGCATTTCTGAATATAATTCATCACTGCAACTGCTCACATGTTTACAACTGTATCATTTCTATATAAATATTTTTATATCACGTATATGATGTATAACGGGTTTTTTTTGCTCTGGAGTGAAAGATTCCAGCACTATTAGGAATCTAAATACACATTATGGAAAACATTTTTAATGACAGGATCTAATAATGTTTTTCCACAGAATGTCTTTTTAATTCTGTACATTTGCTAGACAGTGTTCAGCAAATGAGGGAGCTGTTAAATATTACTTCTTAATCTCACCAGTCGGTGTGTATGTGGCCACCTGGCTAACTCCTTCCACATCTAATTTTATCCAAACACAACAGTTCCCTGCAATGTATCAGAAATTACATTTGACTATGGAAAGTTCAAACTGCAGCACAGACACCTGGTTCCTCATTTACCAGATTAACAAGGCTGTCCTGGAACTACTAAAAGAATGTAGAATGGGCCGGCACCAGGACCAAGTACTGGCACAGCAGTTACTGCAAATCTGTTGCCTTTTTGCTGACTTTCAGAAGAATAGATGCTCATCCTACTTGTGGAATGCCCAGGAGGAGAACATGCTGCCTTGACAGGAATACAATGGCAGAGCTGTAGCAGGAGGGAACACAGCTCAAGTTTCTCCAGATACTACTGTGGGAGCCAAGCCCTTCTCAGCAGTATGCTGGAGTGGCTTGGGCAGTCATGCAAGCTCAGCCTTAAACAATGCAGCAGAGAAGGCTAGGGGAACCTTTTATGTCAGGAAGTGTTTAGCAACCTACTCCCATACATCATCATCATAGAATGGTTATGTTTTAACAGGACCTTAAAGATCACATAGTTCCAATCCCCTTGCCATGGGCAGGGACAACTTCCACTAGACCAGATTGCTCAAAGCCCCATCCAATCTGGCCTTGAACATTTCCAGGGATGGGGCATCCACAACTTCTCTGGGTAACCTCGCCACCCACACAGTAAAATTTCTTCCTAATATCTAAATTAAACCTACCCTCTTTCAGTTTAAAGACATTTCCCCTTGTCCTATCACTACCTGTGCTTGTAAAAAGTCCCTCTCCAGCTCTCTTGTAGCCCTTTTAGTTACAAGGCCCCAGAGCTGGATGCAGCACTCCAGGTGGAGTTTCACAAAACCAGAAAAAAACCCACAGATTTAGTTATGCACACCTCCCCCCACTCTCCCAATGCCTCCCTTCCCCACCCCACTCTTTCATGCACATGAAAGAAACAATTTTAGCATTTACACATCAAAAATTATTGAAACCAAATAAGTATCTATGTCTTTTAATTTCAGGACCTTAATCTGACATACTGGAAACTTTAAAGATCAGGTTTTTTCCTACAGAGAAAGTGTTGAGGTGAAGGGCTGCAAATTGCAAGTTACAAGTTGAACACCAGAAGAATCTTGGAAGGACAAGTAAACTCATTGTTTTGTTTGTGTTTCATGGGGGTGGGGGATTTGCTAATTCAGAGAGTAGTAATCTTGAAATAGCTGTCTGGTAATAACTATAATCTAACTTGCCTGTCCCCAGAAGTCTCTAGACTCCTTTTAAATTCTGAGAAGTTGCTCTTTAAAAGGCACAGAATCATCCTATATAATTAAAATTACAGTTGCAGAGTGATAGTCTCTGGGATTTCAAGGTGGAGCAAAATTTCTGTAGCCACTCTGCGACTTGTGTTTCCTGCTATTCAAGGCTCCCAATGCTTGCAATGAAGTGCAAGACCAAAAAAATGCAGGGTCCCAGCCTCAGCAACAGAAGAAAGAATGAACCATTAAGTGAACTTCAAGGCAACTTCCATTAGTCCCTTTCTAAGATAATATTATTTTTTTTCTAGAAGTTGTGGAAGCTACTGGGAAGGTGGATTGAGAGAAAAATACCATTCACCTTTTGGGAACAACAGGTATAGGTTTGTTTTATTACATCTTCTGGTGTTACATCCATTAGAAAAATTAGCGTTTATCCATTCCCCCATCTCCACCATGCAAGATGGAGGAAGACTGCCTGACTGAGTGTCCTGTTTGTCATATCAGTGTTGGGTTGCTGGACTTCATTGGGAACTGGGAATCTCCAGAACTTGAACGGACTTTTGGAAATTGAATGCTCCAGAGTGGCTAAGGCTGTAAAGGCTTTGTGCTCTCTGTGAAAGAAGTTCGGAGCATGGCATATAATATACAATAATGAATGTGATGAATCTGCTATATATTAAAACTCCAGGGAGAACCCAGCATAATCCAGGGTGGAAGCCCCAGTGTTCCACTTTGCAGGTGAAGCTGTAGTTTTTTGACCTAAAGTGAGCTTCCACCTCACTGAACCAGGGCCACAATAAACCTTGTCACTGACAGAAGCCATTCATGTTCTGAGATGGGCACAGACTGAAAAGGTAAGTTTGATTGTCACCCATCTTGAAAAAAAAACAACAAAAAAAAAAAGAAAAGACAATAGAAGACAATAGAAAGCAGATATAGCTGGAGCAGAAGCAGATCTATTTACATGTTTTCATCCTTTAAGATCTTCTTCTGACTTTAACTAATAACAAATGCAGGATATGGGGAAACAAGGTCAAAGCAATATTTCCTTCAGCCATGGTCAAACAGAAGCATCTGTAGAACTGGAACCAACCTGCAAACTAAAGATGGAGTAAATTGATCTAGACAAAATAAAATATCTATGCTTCAAATTGCTTTTGATGCTGGCACTCTGATGAACCAAATACTTCTGACACTATCAGGAGTTTTGGTTCTTTATATGCTTCAAGGTACCTGCTAAGAATTACATGGGGCAGACCAAGTTCTGTGGTCCTCTTGTACCCTATCACACAATTCATCTACATCAAATCATTCTCTTCATAAATTGGACAGTATCACCTTAAAATGAGACAATTTTCTTCCCAGTTCACAGGCTGTCAAAGAACCCCATTCCTCTGAGACAAATCTTTTCAAGTCTCTTGCTTAAATTCTTTCATCCCCAATGTTTATTTTATTCTTTTGATGCACTCATATAGCACAGTTCCTTTAGACTATCCTTCAACAAAGATTTTAATCAGGAATGCCCTTGTACTGTGCTTCGGTTTGGAGAAGTATTCTGTCTACTCTGCAACCAGGGGATAAAAAATTACTTATTTTTCAGATGGATTGTTTAATTAACAAAGTTATTTCAGTGGATGCAGAAACACCTGTGCTGGTGCAGAAAAGCAGATGATGCAGAAATTAGCTGTCAAGACCAACAGGAGAGCAGGACCTCTACTTTAGGCATCAGGGCTGGTTCATGCTACTTGAAGAGTTCACTGACCTCTTTGTCTCCAACCATAAAACAGGCTGTCATTGTACCTCACTCCTTGAGGATCTCTTCTCTATGCCTGCTCTGGGTTTAGCTTTCACATGTTCTTAGTCCCATTGGCCACTTTGCCTAGATCTTCATATTTATCATTCTCCTTTCAAGACCTGATGTTAAGAATAAATTTTGCTTTCAGGCCAAACTAACTGTCCTTCCCACATCATCATGTCTGTAGTGGCGATACTTTCCTTCTCATACTCTTGACATTTAAACAGTCGAGAGACTGTTAATATAAACCTCTCTTGTTTATTTTAGTATTCTTTTCAAAGTCAATCTGAAATGCTTTTTGGCACTTTTCACTCTATCCCTGTTTGTCCATTAGCCTTTCCTTCTTCAGTGTTTTTGCTTACTTCCAGTGTCCTTTATGAGGTGAAAACACCAATAGTCTTGCAACCTATTGCTCCTCATTTTCTCCTGTGATTTATGGATACAACTTCCATCTACTTTCTGCATCTCTGTTTAAAGAAAACCCACATTTCCCCAATTCTTAAGCTGATCCTAACTACTAATTCTCTCTATTTTTCAGAGTAGAAAGGCTGAAAAAGCAGCAGCAGAAGGTCAATAAGAAAAGAGGTACTCCCAAAATTTTGAGTTCTCAATTATTTTAAAGCCAGGAATTCTGAGAATCTCAGGAAGCTTTTAAATCCGTCAATACCCCTGTGAACTGTACTTACAATGGGAAGTTATTCAACTACAGGTGCAGACTAATTGCCTATTTATGTGATCCAAAGGCTAAACAGATCCAGACCTATTCCTGTTTTGTTTTCTATTTTTCCTGTCTTTCATCTTAAAGAAATCTATTAAGATGTAAAATACTGCCAGATTAAAAGGAATAACTAAGGAAAGAAGCGTTATTTACATATCTTTTTTTTCTGACTGTGCTAATTAACATAATGCCGTTTTCCATATCCCTAATGACATAACTGAGTACATATAAACACAAGCTACCTTTAAGGCAGCTAGCTTGGACTTTATGAGTAGCACAAAGAAGTGTATGCCCAGAAAAGGAATATTCATCCTGCTTCTGAATAGCTTTGCAGTCTGCATCAAGCTCATGTCACAGTTTTTGAGCTAGCAGTGTCTGTAGACGAGACATACCTTCCGTCTCACAATCTACAGTGAAGTTGTATAAACCATTCTGTGACACTCATTTGCATTTTCTAGTTTATGCCATTTTAGCTCTGCTTAAATCTGTATTTGAAGAACTTTTTGTTGTGTGTAGTATACAGCATAGCTTTCAGTTTTCTCCTTTTTTATTTAGTGTTTTATTCTAACTAAAGCTGATCGAGATGGAAAACAAGGTTAATACTGAATATGTGGGATATGCAAGCTCCAAACGCACTGACAGAATTCTGCAAGATGGATTTTTAATTACTTTCAATAGAATTCCATTTGAAGAAAACGGCAATCTTGGGCCTATATATCTTAAACAATATCTAAGCTCTGTTTTGCAGATTCAAGTAGTATCTATTTGTTTTCTGCTGAGAGACATATTCCACTCACTCTGTATTGGCATTGACCTTTACTGTAACACAGTTATGCTTTTCCCACACAAGTATTCAACATTAGATTCTTTTCTCTAAAAATGGCTGATATGGCATGAGACACCAGTCTAAGAATATTTGAGGATACTCATGGAGCATGGAAAAGTCACGCAACTGAAAACTTCAAAATTCCCTTTTTCATTGGTGCTTTTAATCTAGAAGACAAGACGAGATGTGCTGCCAAAATTATGACATATTTAGCTCTATTTTGATCTCTCTTTTTTCTCTATGTCTTGCTTTGCTAAAGATGATTTAAAACTCTGCTTGTTGAATCCAGAAAACAAACAGCTCATGCTTAGGACAGTCTGCCAAGAATGCAGGCCCTGCCCTTTGCTTAGCTCATAAGCAAGAAAAATCTCCTACACAGATAGTGCCAGCCAGTATGCTGCACTAAATCTCACCATCAGAAAATAACACTGCAAAAGGACTGCATACAGAGCAGTAATTTGTAAAGAGCCCAGCCTATCAGTTAGCCTTTCAAAGAGACTTGGTGATGAAAGGCATCTGGTAAATCAATCTGGAAAGAATCCATATTCTCCAGATAACATCACAATTTTATTTTGTGGGCCTGGACTGAGGCAGTATGAGGAACGTAGATGACAGAAACATTAGGACGAATGATTTGTAATCATCATGACTGTCACTCATTTATCTCTTTCCCCCTTCGCCCCCCATAATATTTATACTGGCTCTGAAATAATTGCAACACTGATGTGTTATCAAAGAATATCTGACAACATATTGAATGAACAGTTCTTTATCTTCTTAAAATGCTACCAGAAAAAAAAAAGAAAAAGAAAGAAAATGAGAGTGATTTCTTCACTCTGATAAAATTTCTCCCTTTCTGTGTACGCCATTTAATCCAGATTTACAGAGACAATCTTGCAGGTGATAAAATAATCTGAAGGACTTTCTTCACACATGCCTTGGAAGGGACTACATGAAGTTATAAAATAATTCCTTAAGGGAGGCTCAGATTGCATCATATTTTCCATATCAGTTGGACCCCCCCATCAGCTTACGTTTCCAGCAAAACATTGGTTTCCGTCATGCTGTGCTATGCAAGGATTGGATCACATCTGATGTGATTTTTTTTCCCCCACCCTTTAGATTCAGCAGTGAACACAGAAGAGAAATCAGATATAAAGCCATTACAAATGTGCAATTAATAAAAGTAAAAATCCTGGTTCAGAGTTATCAATGTCAGTTTGCTCATTGGTCTCAAAGGTAGACAAGTTTACATTCTTTGAATATGTACCAGTGTCTTTCTGTCTTCTATAAAAATTGTATAGGCTACAAAACTAACTGGTTAGGTCACAGTAATTTTCATCAGCAAAATAAAAACCCAGTATTTTGTGCTTTACAGCATTGTAGTCTCAAGGTTCCTTTATCTCTAAATGGCTTTTAATCTGTTTTATTTTCATTATGTACTCCTTTATTACAAAGGATTATTACTTTTTGTAGATATAGATCTGCAGCCTTATACACTACTATCAAAAGTCTTGTACCATAGGTCTTCCTTACGGTCCTGGCTTCTGAACACATGATTATGTGAATAATTGAAATTACATTAATTTTAAAATGTTCACTTCTGGAACTTGCAGTTATACAGAAAACCTTGAATGCAGCTATGTGGAACACAGGACTACATAGGGTTTCATGAGGCCCAAGTATCATAGGTGCATATAATTTAAACTTCTTCCACCTCTTAAAGTAGTTGGGTTTCTTTGTGCTCTGTTGCTTTCACTTACAAAATTCTCTCATACACTCGCAGACATGCCAGTGCATATTTATTTGCTCCTGAGGCAGCAATGACCTTTTGCCTGAATTGTTCTTTAGCTTCTTGGTTATTTATACATCTTGCCCTATTGTATTTCTTGTTCACAACTCTTGCCATTAGCAATACGGTCCAGGAAAGCAAAGATACCTTATAGAATCCAGCAATTATTTGCTTGTTTAAGTGTAAGAATTTAAACTTCCTCTGAGTTAGCCAGTAGGGAAGTGATTGAAGTAAGGATTTATTT